ATCCACTCTGTAAGTACATTTGCATCTGCATGTCAACACTGCTAAGATCCATCAGTTGTGAGGTGCGGTTGCAAGTGGACTCACTGGCGACAGTTGATCTCATCTACTTGCAATATGAAAATGCAAATGCCATGGTGCTCCAACACGCAAATTCAACTTAAGTTTCTGAATCACCTTAAGTCTCTAATGAAGGTGCTTAACTTTCTTTTGGCAGAAAATGCAACCGCTACAAGCCATCCTTGACACAGGAAGTTCAAGCAGCCACACCTTTAATCCCATCGTGGAAGCTCAAGAAAAAACTCCAGCACTGAGTTTGAGATCCTTTGGTCCTGAGGGCCTGGAAGAACAACGATCTGAGGTTAGCAAGACAAATCCATAGAAGTTCCAGATTAACATTCGATTTCTGATGGACAGAGTTTTATATCTTGAGAAAAAAGGTGGCAAAAGTAGCTCTAAGTCTAACAAGAAGAATCAGATGATGAAATGTTAGTTTCAGCTTCTAAGGACTAAAAGATTCTCTTAAATGTAGCCAGCCAACTCGTTTGGACAACCAACATATTATTCTGTCATTGTAGAAATTTTAGCCAGTATTACTACTAATTCCTGAAGAATACTAATGGTTCAGGCCAAACCTCTTCTCCTCTTTTTCTCCGTTGCTGCAAGTATTGCAGTAGCATGCTTCCCAGGTAATTAATTCATGTTGTCATTCACATGGCTAAACACATTTCAAACTGTTAGGAGATGCAACCGTTCAGATGTATAATAGGGATATCAAGCTCATGAGAGATCTCAATGTCGGAGATAGGGTAGAATATGTTCTGCACTTTCGAAACAACATCGCTATTGTGTGCAGGTTGCAGTGGGCAAGAATGTTTACTCTGTTGTCTATGCATTCGGCCATAAGGATGCTCATACAACTTTTGAGTTCGTGCAAGTCCACAGAGCTTTACAAAATATGTTAGAGCTTACTGCAGGGCACTTTGTTCCTATTGAAATCAGTGGAAAACTTGTGTACAAGAGAGCTGAGAATCTCAAGGTTGGAGATATTCTTTGGAAATCATCTCAAATCACTGGTAAGAAAGGCTACATAGAATGTTTCTAACAATCTCTTGATTCAGGAACCTCAAAGGTTGAGAAGCTGGGTCTCTACAATCCACTCACTCTCTCCGGCAACATCATGGTGAACAATGTTCTCGCATCCAGTTCGTGCCATGTGCAGCATTCTCCACAAAGAGATATAATGTGCTGCGATTGATTCCTACGTCAACGTTGCTGTGAGCCTTAGTGCCGTATCTACAATATAAAATGCCGCTCCCAGAAACTTTCAAGTTCTCACTGGATGAGGCATCTAGTCATCCTTTGGAAAAGCGTCTTGCTTAGAACTAAAATCTCGCATCCATCGATGAGGAGCTCTTGGATGATAACAAGAAGCGGAGTGCTCTATAGCTCCAGGCAGTGCTCCATGATCGGCACGGCCTGGCGCAAGCTTGACTCTGGAAGAATAATTTCACGTTAATTTGGTTTTGCTTCCAGGGAGAAGAACACACCTCTTTTTCTTCCTTTGCCCTCTTTTCCGAATCATTTCTCTACAGAAGCTTGAGCTTCAAGGAAAATACACCTCTTCTTTCTCACTCTCACCCCGGCCATGATCTCTTCTATGCAGTGGTGCTTGAGACGTCTCAAAGATCTTCAGAGCTTTGAACGGTCAAATCGCGATCAGGATCGCGAAGACAAAAGTATATACCGTCAATAGATAGAAGCTCGATTAGACTGGAAAACTCTAGATCCTCTTCTGAAGTCTACAAGGAGCTGTGCGCTTGTGGGATCCAGCTGGGCATTCTCATCTTGGCCGCATTGAAGTCGTGTAGTGACTCCAATCTGGTAAGCAAATTCATATGAGCAATGGTGACGTTGTGGCCAACAGTCTGGTGGCAATGTATGCGATCATGGTGGAGGCTGGATGCATGTTTGAGATGATCCAGGAGCACGATCTATTATCCAGGCCATGCGACTTTGGAGAACTTTCAAACTTCCTATAGAGAATGTAGGCCTTTGAACTTTTCTCTCACATGGAGGATGTCGAGGGCCTTCTAGAGAAAAATTGGGAGGAAATCTTTTCAAGCTTGACTAGACGAGAGATTCATGTTGGAGCTGTGAGGAGCAGATTAAACTCAGACATATTCATGGCAAAGTGTTAAAGCATAGTGGGTGCTTGGATTGTGTTTGTGTTAAGATTCCATCCCTTACCAACTGGCTAAAGGGTGATCACTTGATTGTAAAGCCCTTTTCTATTCTATTATCATGACCTAGTGCCTAACCATGATCATAGTTAACACCCTTTGATCAAGAACTTCTCACCTTCATCTCCTTAAGAAATGATGTAATATGTAGCACCACAAATTATGACATGGATATAAAATCCATATGATACTAATTTACAATACCTTGTGAGAGTAAAGCATAAGATGGTAAACACAAAAAAGTTTAAAAACTAAATCAAGTACTTGCAATCCATATATCTATCTCTAAATCCTAAACAAGTGCTTTTGTGCAAGCCTTCCAACGTCATGTGTAGCTAAAGCTTCATGAATTTGACATTAGCTAAAATGGTATTCTATTATTCGACAGCTTGAGCGGATATTCACAATCCCCTATGTAATACCTTTGTGATTCATGGTGGTGTTAGTGAGGACATGATGAAATACCTTTGATGGTGGCATTTTATTGTATACACCTCTCTAGTTTACATGAATAGACCTCATATGTTTATACAATGTTGGTTTTGAAATTTTAGATAAAATGCCAGGTAATCCATTATCTTGGTCTCATAAATCTTCAAGTGCATCCACAAATAAAAAGTAGTTAGATTGCTAAAATCTCTAGAATCCAAGAAATGTTGGAATTAAATGCTTAAGAATTTACTCTGAATATGAAATTATATACTTTTATGTATTGCTCCTTGTTATCACTCTCAAATGTTGAAAAAGAGTCTGAATCATATAGGATAAGCTATCCAATTATACCATCTTTCTCTTCCTTGAAACCTAACAAAAATCTCAAGCAAAAAGATGTCATTATCTTTAGTAAAGAAGTTTGAAATTGATAATAGAAACTTACTATATGTCAAAACCTCTTTACAAATCCTGTTATCAAAAGAAAATAAGATCATTTAATATTTCAATTGTGAATCACCTTGTTATTGCTTTAGATTTTTCAATACCAATACACTTTACTTTAGACTCCACCATAGTGCCCTGCCCAATGACAAGCAGTCCTTGCCTAAAAAATGACCCTAATCAAAGGATGAGTAAACATCTAAAAATTTAGTTTTTCTTGAGTATTTAATTTTAACCATGGTAAAGTTATTGCATATTTTTTGGTTTTTGTGAAATCAGATTTGTCAGCAGTCAAATTTTAGACTCTAAAATTTTTTAAAATTTGATTTGATAGATTTTAAATGTTTTTTAAATTTGGAAGAAAAAATTTTTGAGTATATAAATGAATGAAGTTTTTTGTCTTTCATTCAAGGTTAAGTTTATCAATCAATTCACTAAAGTTTTCCTATCCACATTTTCCAGAAGGTCCTTCATAGTTTTAATCACTACTGAAAGATTGCCTTGTCTTTCATCCAGATTCTTTATCAACATTGTTAAACCTTTCTACTCTACCTTTGTCCCCAAAGTCCATTCCTCTTCTATTAGAAGTCTTTACAGCAATAGATTTAAGGTCTGGGGATGGGTATACACTAAACTCTGAGGATGAAGATAGGCTTATATGGTTTATATTACACTTTGAATATTATGATAGGCTATATAGCCTATATTTTGTCCCTCTCCAGTTTTTTTACTGAAATCCACTATAAATCTAGCAATTAAAGTCTAAAATACCTCCATGCCCAAAGAAAACTTGTCCAGTTGAAGGTGGGGTAAAGTATTTTTTGTAAATAGCAATAATGATGTATCTCATAACTTGGATGATGAAGATGATAGTGGTTTTAAAGAAGAAATCAATGATTATGATATGAGCTAAGTGTTTTAATTTTATAGTGTTATGTGTTTTCTTTTTTATCAAGTTATTTTCTTTCTTTTTTATGATTCCATTTCAGAAGCTTACACAATTACTTGGATGAGAAATGCACTTCTTCCATCAGCATCCACGCATTACCATAACCTAGCCTAGACCGTGAGCCATAAAATTTAAATAAGTGATAATTATATTAAACTTGCTCAATTAAAAGTTACTAATCATTGTCAGAATTCCAAAGTAATTCCTTTTAAACTTCTTCATTAGAATCATTTATAATTTAAAAAATTAATTCTTTAACCTTTTTCACTTTGGTTGCTAAATACTCCTTTTTTTGTTAGAGTTTTGCTATTTTTAATAAGTAGGAATACTTCAACGTCTTCTTCTAAAGACAAAAGATGGCACCTATTCATCTTTACTATCATAAGTAAGTTTTATATTCTTGTAAATAGATCCAAAACAATGCCTTTCTCCTATGTGGTATAGCATATCAAAAAGTCAAGAAAATTGGCATTAATTTTTGACCTCTTGATCAAGTTGGTGTCATCATCATATAGTGGCAAAATATCTTCATCTAAGGACTTGAAGAAATTATCATAGAAGTCCCATTTTCTAAATGTAATAGTAGTGAACTGTGTTTTAGCTTTTTTTGGTTTTACCATCTCTATTTTTAAAGTTGATTTTTACAAAAATAAAATAGTAGTTTCACCAAATTGATTAATATTACACAAAACTTTATCTTTCCCAAGTTTTTCATATATCCAAATAGGTAGTTGCTAAAAATTGTGTATGAGCGGTAGATTTTAAGTGCACGCCTCTAAAATTCTTTATAGACCAATATTGACTTCTCATTTGCATAGAATAGTGCAATTTATCCTTGGTCATAAACCATTTTTTGAGCAATTCCCATGGAATAGTTATTAGTATAACTATAAGGAAGTTATAGTATAACTATAAGTTATTAGTATAACTATAAGGAAACACACATAGAATAAAATGAGCTCTATAGCTTTTCACCATTTGGTTCTTGTGAAATTATGTTTACATTTGCTTCAAAAATTTATTAATTGTGTCTCATTTCCTTTTTGACCCCCTTGTTTATTAAAAAATTTATAGATTTCACTCATACCAACATTCAGAAGCTCATATTTTTCTATGGAGATGGCAATAACAAGCACAAATCCAAGTCTATCCCTATTTTTATTAACTTTTTTCCTTGGAGATCATATTAAAATCTCCAATAGTTCAACTCCTCTTGTCTTGTAGCCCTTTTTTCATTGTTTCTTTGGAAGCCCCCTTGCCTTCTTAGAAGCAGTCTATTATATCCTACTAAAGAATGAAATATCATACTTGCCTTTGCTTTTTGAAATTCTCTTGCTCAAATTCTAAATATTTGTTGTCTAACCAATTTAGCCATCAAGAACAGTGTTGAAACTTATATGTTGTTATTGTTGGGATAAATTGTTATTGTTGTTCTTCATACATGGATCAGTTGACATTTTTATTATTTCAAAATTTTAGCTTTTCTAAAATAGTTTTTGTCATCCATCCACTATAAGCTTCTTGAAATACCTAGAGTCAAATCATAAAGATTAGTTAGAATAAAAAAAAACAAACAACAACAAAACAAATCACAAGCTTATTTAGTACTAAAAGAGATAGAGAAACCATTTGGTGGCTAAATAATTCCTTGTTCTTCTCCTAATGTTACTTGGAAAAAATTTGTTTAGTCGAAAAGAGTTTTTTACAACACGTGAGAGAGGATAAAGAAACTATTTAGCCACTAAATGGTTTCTCTCTTACAAAACTATTATATAAAAATAAAAATTAGATGATATAAAATCAAGAATTAGGACTAAATGGTGATTCTATCTGGAAAAAAAGGAGCCAAAGCAAGTTGGGACCAAATAATATTTTCTAAAGTAAAAGGAAAAAAAAGTGGAAAAATAAATAAAAAGGTCTATCAAGTAGCAATTCAAGGTCGAATTGAGAATTGATGTAACAAAGATTGAAAAAAGGTTGGATAAAAACCAAATAAAATGGCTTTTAACACCAAAAAAGTGAAAAAAAATATTAAATAATTATAAGCTAATTGTTTTCTTGTTTTGTTCATAAAGTTGAGGTTTCATTATCCCTTGCTATTTGTGTCCACCATACTATAAATATTATTTGTGTATTAATCTTCAATATCTTTGAAATATTCATGGAAACTTGATGAAGTGCAATCTTAGTTAACAATTAGAATTGGTATTACTTGGCTTATATTTAATGATTTTTACTAACAAGCTTATATATTACACCATAGTCAAAAATTATTATCATCCCTTGGCACACCCCAAGATTTCTATTGAGATGGTTG